CTGAACGCGTCACAAATTGTTGCTCACACTGACAGCTTTAATCTGATAGCGCGCCCTGGTCGTCATGGAGACAGGAAACGGTTTCTGTAATCTGTAATCCATCAGCGTCTTCATGATCAGTTCCTCAGAAATGCAGTTCAGGGAAGTGAGCTACACTTGAATCTATATTTGAATATATGTGTTTCTTGATGCTCTTAAAGCACTTTGAATGGCCTCGTGTTGAAAGATGCTTTATCAATAAACTTTCTTTGTCTTTCCTTTAATGGAGCGATTGAACAAAGTCAGTGACAGAGAATCAAGACGTCCTCAGAGAGAGTCTGTCTCCTTCTATAGATCTCACCCTGATGAACACAGAGAGCGACTGGACGGCAGCACGACCCTCTGTTCACACTGAGATCATGGCCTACAGAAACACCTGATCATGTGACTCACTGTAGAGGCCTTCACACAGCGGGGGGGATTTGTCTGAAACTAGGGGGACTCCTGAGAGTTCACACCTCAAATCAAGCTAACCAATCATGTTGAGTCTTTATTAATGAGGATTACAGAACCTCTCCATAGTCAGAACCAAGCTGGTTCCACCTGAACCTGTTCCTCCCCGGACTCTGGTCCTCTGCTCTGTGACTCTGATCTCTGAGTCCTTCTTCTACTTTTCTACACACTTTGTTTTTTGCACCTGTCTTTGTTCAGTCTGGCTTTTAGTTCTTTAGTTGCTTGATTAAAAATGTTAAGCAGCAAACCCCAATGTTAGTTATTCTGTATGTGTGTGAAAGAGTTTGTTATTTCAAATTGGTCTCCTACTGAACTGTTTCAAACACGTCATGTGGTCTTAATGTGATCTTATCAAAGTTAAAGAGAATTATAAAAAAAACACCCATCACAAACACCCACACAACACACACACACACACACACACACACACACACACACACACACACACACACACACACACACACACACACACACACACACACACACACACACCACCAGTGATAAGGACATGCAGCATATTGCACAACTGCATAAGGACACACTCACTGATTCCCCCCCCCATCACTTCCTGGTGACAGCTGAGATCTGACAGAGAGATAGCAACATGCTAACGGTGCTCTCTGATGTCTCAATCACTCCCTCAGTAAACACACACTGTTCACAGGACTCTGACATGTACATACAATCATCATATAGGCTTAAACATGTCATGCTATATACAGGTTAAGCATACGAGTTAAATATGCTGCATAATTCTATATTTACACGCTTTGCACATATGTATCTACAGTGGGGGGGTGCTGTAACTTCTAGAGCCCCCTGAGAGTGTTCCTGTTTATCTGAGTTCACTTTAACCCTTGGATGGCGTTCATATCGTTGTTATTCAGCCGGTGTTCGGGGGTCTGGAGTCCCGCTGAGCTACTGGGTTTGTAAATGAACACAACCAAACAATTGGATGTAAACATACTCAACAGATGTTCCCTTTATCCCAACTACAAGCCGTACAAACAGCTGATAAGGTTCATATTTGCCCTTTACCTTTGTTGGATCACAATTATAAATAAAGACCATATTTGTTTTTATTTTAAAATGCAATTGAACAAAACAATTTTTTTATTAAATCACGATATGACAAATGTACAAATAAAGGGTTTTTCTTATGTATTTTTTTAGAGCATTTACAACATTGATGTGAGTCTACACAACACTTCAGCCCCGTTAACACCAGTGGTGAACCGTGTCTATCACAACTGGACCTTCTGTAGACACACACCCCCCACCACCACTCCCCCCCCCGCCGTTATAATGTCCGTCTTTTCACTGAATTATCGTCTTGAAAAGGTATTGACAACAATTCTGCAACAACATCATCTTCACCTGTTTCCATATCAACGTTAAAACAATAAAACTTCAGATTAATTGCTCCGTGGCATTTCTCTAGTTCCTCTGTCTCTCTCCAGTGAACTACCGGGCCTAGAGCACCTGGAACCGAGGGAAACTCTGAAAGAACACGCCCATTGGCTACAAATCAATATATGATGGGTTGATCAAACTGTCAGGGCCTTCTATCAAGGATATAGAATACCTGGTTAAATGATACCCTACCCAGAGACCAAGAACAACATCTGATTGGTCGCATTTTGTTTCTAACACAAAACCACTGAAATGCGTAGTGCATGGACCAAGAAGGAGAAACAAATCAACGTAACACTGTAATATTACAGATCAACAACACAGATACCATTCTCATTTATTCATTTTATTTACATTTTATTTATATAATTAAATCTATTTTTTGTTAGTTTTATCTGAGTGTTCCAGGGTATTCTCTGAATACCTTGAAGGCCCTGACGGTTCACCTCTGGTTAACAGCCTTCCTGAGCAGCCTATCAGAACAGAGCTTCACTGTATGTGTGTGTGTGTGTGTGTGTGTGTGTGTGTGTGTGTGTGTGTGTGTGTGTGTGTGTGTGTGTGTGTGTGTGCGGTGTGCATGTGCATGTGCGTGTGTGTGTGTGTGTGTACAGTGTGTGGGGGGGGGGGGGGTTGTGTGTGGGGTGTGTGTGGGGGGGGTGGGGGTGTGTGTGGGATGTGCTGCGGACCGGTTATACACTTATACACGAGGGAACTAACATAGCTAATTTAACTAACGTTAGCTAATGTAGCTGTTGTAGTGCCGAGAGACGGGACATACGGATTAAGCACCTAGACTACTTGTAGTGTACATGCAGAATTATTTCAATTTAAAATAGTTTTAAATGCTCACACATACCTGACTCTCGTGCTGTATTTTCCTCTCGTTTCTTTTTAATTTTCCGTTGCGAAGCACCTGATGAATGCTTTCTCTTTGACAGCGCCATCATCAACAGACAGAGGTGGCAACGCAGATTTGAATCTGCCAATCAGATCAATCTATTGCTGGAGAGGGGGGGGGCCTCCCCGAAATCTGTGAGATTGATTGGTGATGATCACTGGCACGTAATGTGTCCAATGAGAACGTTAACACGTTTTAGAGAGTTATGTTTAGTGAAGACGGAGGTCAGCCACTGTCAGCCGGAAGTGGCGCATTCAAATACTGTTTGGGCTGTCTGCCGTGGATGGGCTGCATTCCACTCCAAATAGCCGGTCGGCCGTAGCCAGAATCCAAACGCAAGCTGTTTTATGGATTCTCATTTAATTTCCAAGAATATCTCAGTACTGTGTTATTTCCAATTTCAAAATAAACATATATATTAAACAAATAGAAATAAGAAGTAAGTATATTATAATATATTCAAGAATGAAAAAATATGTGCCTATATATATATATGCATATATATATATGCGTGCATATATGCATATATATATATGCGTGCATATATGCATATATATATATATATATGTGAATATATATATGCATATTTATATATATGTGTATATATATATGCATATTTGTATGTATATGCATATATATATATATGCGTGCATATATGCATATATATATGCGTGCATATATGCATATATATATTTGAATATATGCATATATATATACGCGTGCATATATGTGTGTGTCTGTATATATTTATAAACTGTATATTATTTTCCATCATTCAATGGACAATGGAGTATTTGTACTTTTTTAATATATACCATCAAACATATGTTCATATATAAAGTGGGTAACTATACAAAACGAAGTGAGATAACTGTTTATGAATATCTGTTCAATTTTATGTAAACTTGTGTAACTCATGAAAGATAAATGCGTGTTTCAATAAAACTATTACATATAAAAATGTATAGTGCAGTTTTTGTTTTCATTGCAATATTTTTTTTATATGTATCAATATATAGCCATACATGGTCCATGCATATATTGCAATATATTTAAAAATATAAGAACTACTTTCCCATATATGGAAATGTATGATCCAGTATATTGTATTATATTTACCAATATATTACAATATATTTTTGTTTCATAAGGGGAACCAAGCTGGTTCCACCTGAACCTGTTCCTCCCTGGACTCTGGTCCTCTGCTCTGTGACTCTGATCTCTGAGTCCTTCTTCTACTTTTTCACACACTTAGTTTTTTGCACCTGCCTTTGTTCAGTCTGGCTTTTAGTTCTTTAGTTGTGTTACGAACCCACTAGGGATGAGTAAAATAACATACACCAGATGGATTTGGTAAGTATTATAATCGGATTTAATGAGCAACAACAAAGGTGCACAACAAAATGAGGTCAAAAGAAGCCTAAGCCAAACAAAGAAGCCAAAAGGGCGCAGTTCTCTTCCAATTAGCCATATTGGAAGGAGGCTGCAGGAAAACGCAGCTAACAATATGAACTAAACACTCGCTACTCTAAGCACACGTATAAACACTCTAAACACACAATACTAAACACGGATTACAAATGTCAAACACAGGCTATAGCTCAACTGAAGTGTCCACGACACAGGAGCAATATGTGTGAGGCGTCTGATTGCAGCAGAGCCTCCTGAGTGATAATTGTCCCCAGGCTTTGTAGTAATCTCCGGAAGGTGTGCTCTGGGATTGCACGGGGATTGGAGAGCGTCGGGCCCGGCGTGCTCCAATCAGCGTCTTCGGAGGAGGACTAGGAGATGACAGCCAACGACATTGGGGCAACCACACAGCTCATTTACATATTACACACAGCTGAAACAATCTCAGACAGGTTAACGAGCAGACAGAAACAGCAGCCGTAACAAGTTGCTTGCTTAAAAATGTTAAGCAGCAAACCCCAATGTTAGTTACTCTGTATCTGTGTGAAAGAGTTTGTTATTTTAAATTAGAAATGTATGTTTACTTGTTCTCCTTTTAAAGACTAGCGTTGGATAATTTCCCTCAAAATAGGATCATGTTCAGCCTCTGATGTGATGATTTGACATGTAGCTGAAGAGAGAAGAGAGCGGGAAGTGACCATCAGATATTAATACCATATCAATACCATCAGATATGTTTCCAGAGAGACTCCACCTCTCGCTTTACGCTGATATAATGCGAGGACAAAACATGAGATGCTCAGAATAAAGAGAGCGAGCGAGAGAGAGAGAGACAGAAGAGAGACATGGATCACCTGCTGCTGCTGCTGATGCTACTGGTCTGTAGCTCAGGTAATAATCCACTTTATTATTTATTATATTCAAATATCTTTGTGATCTCTCAAGAAATCACTGCTCGTAAACACTGACAACAAGATACACACACACACACACACGCACACACACACACACACACACACACACGGCACCATCACAGACATGGTGCACTTTAATGCTACGATGTGTGTGATCTTAGATAGTAATTCAAATGTATTAAATATATCCTACGTCAAATACTCTACATGTGTTGTATAGACTTTTGTGATTTGTGATTGGCCCACACTCAGACCAATCAGGAATTGAGCAACACTAAACTTGTAGAAGCCGAGTATGTTGTGTTCGAACTGTTTCTTTGCACACAATTGAAGGCTCTATACGCCCCGAGGTGATGGGAAATGGATCATTAATAAACTCCTCACCACCTTCCACAAGACCCTGGTAGCCATGCCAAGTGTCATAGGGGCATTTAAGTCTGCCTTAACTTTCGGGGTCTCCACTGCAGAATGTGGGAACCTGAAAAGCCTCACGCAGTAGGGAGATGGTTTGCATGTGGAATGAACATCTTGGTGCTTACTCTGTATTCTGTGTTTGCTGCTCGGTCAGCGGTTGCCCAAGTTGAAGGCCCAAGCAAAGCTGCTTTGTTTAGTTATTGTGAGTGTGTGCCTTGCTCCTGAGTGCTGTGTTCCCAGTGATCGTGCCGCCGTGCACACGGTGTTTCAAACGTGGTTTCTATGCTGCTCTTCATTTCTGTGTCTCTACGCAGTGATGCACACACACACACACACACACACACACACACACACACACACACACACACACACACACACACACACACACACACACACACATTGACAGCAGATTTGTACTCTATTTTCTTTGGGTAAATAAATATTTTATTGATCTTCCCATCATCGTCTTTATATTCAGACATTAAGAGTTGTTTTCATTGGAGGCCGCGCTGACGCCTCCACAGAGAGCGTGTCTCACAGTTGTGCAATAGCTCCCTGTCCTTATCGCTGGTGGTGTGTGTGTGTGTGTGTGTGTGTGTGTGTGTGTGTGTGTGTGTGTGTGTGTGTGGTTGGGATGTGCGTACATGTTTCTTTATAATTATTTGTAACTTCGATAAGATCAAATGAAGACACGTCATCAGTTTGCATAATCAGCAGAAAGTACGGAAAGAGTTTGTTTTGACTTTGGTTTGAGAAGTGGGGGGGGGGGGGACAAAACAGGGGTCCTCCGCAATGAGAAATGTTCTCAATTTAATTCCATGTCCTGCCTTTCTACAAATATATTAGGGACTATGGTGTTAACAAGGCCAAGAGAAGTGTGTAGTGTATATGATGAGTGTGCAGATGGATCTAGTGTCCTCTCCATGTGAACCTGATGTGTTTCTTTACATTGAAGTTAAAAACACACACACACACACACACACACACACACACACACACACACACACACACACACACACTCTGACAGCAGTTTGTTATTCTATTTGTCTTTGGGTTAATAAATGTTGTATTGAACATCCCATCAGTGTGTTTATACTCAGTTATATTAAGGCATTAATATTTGTGTAGAGACAACTCAAAGTGTTTGTCCTCCAACACGTTCCAACACCTCTATTATATCATTTACACTGATCTCTATTATTGCATATTTGAATGAGTCTGCCTACACCATTGTTTATTATTGTGAATTACCTGTGGTTGATATAGTGTGTGTGTATGAGTGGGGTCCAAATACACACACCGTCAGGTTTTTAAGCATAAGTGGGGTCTATATACACACTGTTTTACACACACAAACAAAAACACATGTTCACATACTCTTACGCACACACATTTACATTGACACACACACAGAGGTACTGAGGTGGGATCCATATATACACACAGTCTCTTTTTTAGGCATCAGTGGGGTCAATTTAAATACACACGTACACACACACACACACACAAACAAAGTCTTACATCAAGTTTTATCACCAAATACTTTGATATTTGTCAAACACACTCACACAAATGCACACACACTCACACACATCACACACACAGACACACCAACTTACATGCACACAAAAACACACACACACACACACACACACACACACAAACACCCACACAAACTTACAGACACACACACACACACCCATGGGAGGATGCTCAAACAATATACACAAAAACACACACTGTCACACACAAACATACACACACACACACACACACACACACTTGAGGACACAAACATGCACCCTCCCCCCCCCCCTTCTGAAGGTGGTACAGCATGGATCAGATCAGGCAGGATCCTGGAGTAAACACAGAGATCATCATCATCATCAGAAAGAGCAGAGGTCACTGACTGGAAGCAGCTTCCTGGAGACGTTCAGCTACTGACCTGTAGGGGGCGACCACACACACACCATCTGGTTTATAGACATACATTCACAAAGTCTGGGTTTTAGACAGATGTGGGTTCCATACATTCATAAAGTCTGGGTTTAAGACAGATGTGGGTTCCATACATTCATAAAGTCTGGGTTTTAGACAGATGTGGGGTCCATACATTCATAAAGTCTGGGTTTTAGACAGATGTGGGTTCCATACATTCATAAAGTCTGGGTTTTAAGACAGATGTGGGTTCCATATATTCATGCTGTCTTCAGGCACGTGCACACATAGACCTCAAAGTGGGCTTGAGCCCCTGCCCTTTTTCTTCCTCCAGAGAAAGTGCCCTTTTTATGGGGTGCTTTTCCTTTTCTTTTCTTTTTTAAATAAATGAATATGTATCTACTGCTGTTTGCGCACACTTTCCAAAAATATATTGATTGAATAAAAATAAAAATATCAGGTTGGGAGATTAGACTGAAGTTCCGCTGCTCTCTCTCCCCTCTCTCCCTCCCTCCCTCCCTCCCTCCACGTCTCGCGCACAGCGATGCGGACATCGGCAGTCCCTTCAGACAGACAGGTAGCAGCACCTCCCACTTTACTGTCCCACATTATGCCGGCTTTTCTTGGTTTATTTTGAAGGTGACTGGTGATGAACAAATGACTAAGCTGCCAGTGTGTGAAAGACACACTCAGAAGCCAAAGTACAGAAGAGAGGCTTTTCTGATCTCCTCCTCCTCGCTATTGAGAAGGACATTCCTGTTATCCAGTGAAGTAATAAACATGTACGGGACATGGCCCCCAGAAGGTTGCTGCTGTAAGGGAGGAAGGAGAGACAACAAGTGAAGACACGAAAACATATTTAACAACTTCCAAGTGCAAAGAAAGATACAAAGAAAGTTAGTAACAAAAGAAGTTATTAACAAAATATTTAATTTCAGATTTCAAGACATTTTTAAATAATTTCAGTAAAGTTGCAGTATTTTTGCATGTTCTTAATAAATATTTTTGCACCGTTTTTTTCAGCATTTTTGATGTGTTTTGTCCAATTAAATTAAGTAAATGAGTAGGAGAGGAGAGCAGAATGCACTAAGTGTAATTGTAACTAAACTTAGCCCTACTTGTAGTTTGGAGTGTAGGTTGGTTTGCATATTTATGTAGAGAACAGACTTTTTCAGTTTTGTGTGAAGATTTTTGTTGATTTTGAAGTGTTATTTATTTGAATACCACAAAAATAATTCAAAGGACTTAATGTTGTGCTAAAATAAACTAATTATTATAGCAATTTTAACTAGTAGCATAGAAAGCATGCACATTGTGGCATAGTTTCCTTTGTTGATGTCTGCTCTTGTAGTGAATACTAAAGTAGAGCATTGTCTCTGTGTTAACTGATTATTTTGTAGAATTATGTTGAGTATTAAACAATTGCGTGAGTGTATTAAAATTAATTGGTCGGTAAGCCAGAGATGTGCAACTATATTTAACTTTTAGTTTTACATTTTTTTAAATAAATGATTATGGCATGTGCCCTTTTTTTCACTTGAGCCCCTGCCCCCCAAAATGTCTGTGCACGTCCCTGGCTGTCTTACACACACACACACACACACACACACACACACACACACACCACACACACACACACACACACACATACACACATACACATACAGACACACAAAAACACAATCAAACACTCACACCATACTCACAAATACATACAGTTATACACTCACACACTCAAACACACAAACATCCACACGCACACACAGACACTTACACAAAAACTCATACAATTACACACATGCATTCACACACACACACACACACACACACACACACACACACACACACACACACACACACACACACACAAATACATTCACAAAAACACACACTCACACACAAACACATACACACTTGAGGATACACACACATGCAATCGGAAACTCAGAGCATCAAACACACACACACACACACACACACTATACCAGGTCATATTAAAACAGGTACAGGTCAGCTAGTTAATGTCTGCAGTTAGTGATAGGGGAGTGAGGCGTTCAGGTGACAGCAGAAGGTGGGAACTGGCAGCATCTCTTTCCTCTGTGGTTCCTCCTAATGTAATTGTTGCTGTAGAACATGTTTCAGTGTGATGATGGTGCACCATGACTCATTTGAATTGAAGGAGCATATTCTCTAAACTGAACTGTTGCTTTAACTCTGAATATGTGACTTCTCTGTATGAACGTGTTATTCTCAGCTAGAGTAAACTGGTGAAATGACTCCAGAGTGAGTTCACTGACGTGTTCCTGAGATGATAGAAAACTCTGTTTACCTTATCTTCTGATTTCTCCTCAGGACTCCAGGCTGAAGGAGAACACAACTCAACAGGTAAAGTGTTCAGTTTATTCACCCTGTTACTCTTTAAGTGATTACAGTCTGTAAACAACCTTTATCATAAAACATGATGTAGTTTAAAGACTTCACCACTAACTGATCCTAGTTTCATCATTTATGATTTTACCATGTTTGTGAAACCAGGATATACTTCAAAGGTAAACAACAAACCATCATCACCTTTTCATCACCACCACTTTTCATGATTATACTTTATAAATACCATCAGATCATCACATTGAAAAGGAATCTAACTTCGATACAACCAACGTTAATATCTAGGCCGTCTCCGATACTGAACTCCGGTGCTGATAAGGCTCCGTTGAACAGCCGTCCAATCTTTTTAGGACTTCAAAACCCCCCAGAATCTACACGCAAGATCAACGCAATCTGCTTAGGGGGGCGTTTACAGCGTGGCCTCTAACACCAAACTGCCCGTCGTATCCCTATGTAGGCACTCCAGCCACGGATGTCCGACCGCTAGGATAGCAAAACGGAGTGTATAGTGTAGTAGGTGTTGGTGGGCTGGTAGAACCCCAGAGCAGTATCTAAACTGCCCCTGGAGGAGAAACCCTGTGTCGTTGGGAGACTCCTTGGTAATTAGGGCAGCTTCAGGACCCTCAATCCCTAACCCCCAATTTGTATACCCTTATACCAATTAAAACAATGCAAAAGTAATATCAAACCCAGCCAGAGTCAAACATTAATAAAGTGAGCCTAACCCATAATGTGAAACTATAGTTTAACCTTAGCAGAGTTTCTATTCCCCTTAAACAATTTAACAGCATTATCATAAGTAGTCAAAAATGTATAGTAACATGATGTTAAAAATAAATCAAGATACTCTGCACTTTTAACGTCACAATGTCGGCAGGTCAGGTCCACAGCATTTCTGGAGCCCTCGTCTGGTCAGCTGCTGTAAAAGATTAGTTTGGTGGCACAGAAGTTCTAGACTTCTTAGCCGGAGGAGGACAGGTAGACCCTTCCCCAAGCTCCCTAGGACTAATGTCAAAATAGTCTTCTAAATGTTCTGTAACATACCAGCGAGGTGGTTCCCTGTTATCCCCGCAGAGTCTCAGTGAGAGACCCCTCCTAGATGCTGGCAACAAATGATCAGATAAATCTTCTCTCTGATATAAGCGTCCATCACCAACCAACCACTCAACAGAACGTCTATAAAGGGACTGAAAAATTGCTATAGTAAATATCACACATTTTCTTAAAAATATTGTTACATCTACTTGGTTTTAAATTCCTTACTACCAACCAGGAGTTGGATAAACACCAGATACTACAAAAGGAAGTTGGTCAAAATCTCCAAAGTGAGCAAACCTATTCTAATGACTTTTAGCAGTTAAAAACCTTCTAACATTATTCTACTTATTGAACTGCTCCCTGATAGGAAGAAACTAATAACACAACTGAACTCTCCTTTCTGCTAAAAAGGGATAAATCAATAAACAACTCAGCGTTGGCCGATTGATAAGGCCATTTTGCCAGTTTCTAATAAGTAAAATGGGGATAGCTAAGATCAAAGTCACAAATCCCCCATTCTTTAATGACTTTGGGGTAATCAAAACTAAATTAAAAAATAGTCAAAATGATTCCAATCAGGATCTCTTGTATTGACTGGGATGAACCATTCTCAGAGGTAAAGTTTGGTCTCTCCATTACGTGCTGTCACTGTCTCAGGTCCAGAGAGTAGTGAGAGTATGTAAGGGCGGGGGTGCTGATCTCTATCTCGGAGCTGCATGTCAAACCACATCAACATCCGGTGCTTAGCCTGCAGCAAGGAGGAGAGGCAAAAGAGGAGAAATCTCCCTCTAAGCAGTTTTGAAAATGTTCTTTATAATTGTTTTCTTAAGCAGCTTTTATGGATAAAGCTACTTAATCATATGTTTCATGTTTCAGGTCCTATTAGTTTATAGATGTGGGGGGGGATGTTATACTTGATGAAAAGAAGTGATACCACAGTGTAGAAATACTGTAACAAGAACAAGTCTGGTATTGAAATCTACTTAGGTAAAAGTATTAGGATCAAATAATGCTTAAAGTACCATCATTAATACTCCGTTTGAATGTCAGTGGACTGCAAATAAGTCAATAAAGGAGCATGGCTGCTCATTCCCTGGCTCTCAAAAGAGTTTGGCTGGCTGTTTAATCTATGTTCACACTGAGACAGTACAACACAGAGAGAGAACAGTACACCTAGTGTGTAAGTACATACAAGCAGGTCACACAGTATGATCACAAATACATAACATCTGTTCAAAATCTGTTTTCATTAGAAAGTACAGGCTGCATATGTTCTCAGCCTTGGAGAAACTTGACAGGTTCATTAATAAAACAGATATTTCAACGTGTGCCTACTTTGTTCATGTACTGTTGAGGTTCATCTCAGTAGTTGTGTGCTATAATGTATTTACAAAGTGTGAAGAGGAGGCAACTTTAGAATAGGGAACCTGTTCAGGTCAATTAGAGTCAAACTACTAGCTTATTGGTTATGAACAAGACTTCACTTTAAAATAGGGAACATGTTCTTAGATAGAAATACCTCATTTTGAGTTGTTTAGACTTAATTAACACTTACAGTTTCATGTCTTGTTACATAAGAATAGATCATATTTGTTAAGTGTTATTATGGGATAATTACTATTCTTGTGGTACTGCTGCCTTATTAGGCCCATATTGAGCAGCGCATATTAAGACCAAAACTCATGTACAACAACTTCCTTACTTGCAATAAATAAGCACTAATTAGAGGGTTATTGAGGAAAAGCTCTCAACTAATGGCTTATTACTTGTAGAATATGGTCATGTAGAATAAGGCATTAATAAGTGTTTTATAATGACTACTAAAGAGCCAATATACTGCTAATATGCATGTTAATTAACAACTAGTTGATGGTTAATATGTGTACCGTAATATAAAGTGTTACCAGTCATTCAAACCTGTACTTACAGTACTTGAACTCATTTTGTTGAATACATGTGATGTAGTAGTATTATAAAACGATATACTCCAGTAAAGTAATTCAAACCTGTACTTACAGTACTTGAGTATATGTACTTTATTACTTCCCACCACCGGTTTATAGAGAGCTGGAGTTAATGAACTGATTAACACTCGGAAGTATTAATAGTATAAATGATTAATTATTAAAATATGCTAATATCAATGAAGGTACATGACTCTCTTGTTTCTCTTCAGAGCCTGGTGTTAGGCTGGTGGGAGGAGAGAGTCGCTGTGCAGGAGAACTGGAGGTGGAACATGAGGGAGAATGGAGACCAGTGGGGGGCCGTTACTCTCAGTGGACCCTGAAGGCAACAGGAGTCGCCTGCAGAGAGCTGGACTGTGGCTCTGCTGTTTCTGTGGGAGAGAGAAAGGAGTCCTCAAAGAGACCTGTGTGGTGGATCAGACCTGACTGTGTTGAGTCTGGATATGCTCTGAGGGAGTGTGCACGATCAGATTCCTCTAAAGACATCCTGACTCTCACCTGCTCAGGTAAACCCATCTATGACATCATCAGTGACATCATCAGTGACATCATCGATTTTCATTTATTGTTTTCATTTTCTTGTTTTTAGAATTAAAAAATACACAAACCCAAATAACAAATGATGAACAGTGTATGAAGCAGCCGGGCGTTGTGGGTGGGCTACTGGGTCTATAGGCCCACCCACTCATTCATCAACAATGACAGAGAGAAAATATAGCTTACCGGATTTTTATTTTTGATTATCAAAATGAATAATTAAATAATTAAATAATAGCAAAAATAAGTTTCCCTTTAAAAAATCAATACAATTAGAAGCAACATTTATTAACGTATTCAGGCTTCTGTTGTGTGAGATGTTCTATCCAATCACAACAGGCCAATGTAAAATGGCCTGTTGTGATTGGCCTACATAGTTCACATAGTCGAAGCGTGGCGCAAACACAACGTAGGACGTCCCACAGACCCCGCAGATGAAGGAGGAAAATATAGCACTCATTTACAGAGTCACAAGAATCCATGTTCAGAGTTTTCAAAAGAGTGAGAGGGGAGAGGCCAGAACCATCATCCTCACAGCAGGGGCCGTCTCACTCCAGATTCTGCCTCTCTATGCTTTCTGTGTCTCTAAAATGTATCAATGTAATGTGAACCAAAAGAAATGAACAAGCAGTATTACATTTCATTTCACTCCTTGCAGCCTGGAGCACGGCTGATATGAAGAGTCATGAAACCCACCGGGTTATTTGGAGCCTCCACCTCTAGAATGATACAATTCACCATTTAATGGAAAACACGAGATCAATATACAAACAACAGCTTGAATTCAATGATGACGCCATGTTTGAAGAACAACGTGTTTACAAACACCAATCAGATAACACATGTGAAACACACATGTAAGAGTAAAGAATGAAACCTTTTGAAAGTGTCTGTGTGAGAGCAGAGGTGGAGCTGAGCAGGAGCAGAGGATCTGCAGAGGAGGAGGTTTTGTTGAAGACACAGGGAAAGGGTTCACTAATGGAGACCACTTGCTAGAGGGTATCAGATGTAGATGTGAGGGTACCTGCAGTCTGTGCTCTTATAAACATGTGTTCTGTTGTTCATCATCAACTCATGTTGGAACTGAGTCCAGTTTGAATCTCTGAAATATTGTTTCATCTCTTTGATGGTCCTTCTTTCTATCGTGACGAGATCCTGTCACTCCGCAAATGTTTGATGGGGCGGAAGTGAGTGCACACATGGAATCGAGTGCTGCTACAAAAACCTGAGAGAACGTGAGAGATAACATAAATAAACATAACTAAAGAGCAAAAATGGCACTCAGGAAAAATCCAAACTCTGACGAGGTGGAGGAGATCAAGAATTCTCTCGACTTCTTGTCAGCCGAAATTAAAACAGTCGCGGCCCAGCAAAATAAAATCATGGAGCTGATGGGAGAAATACAATCTCTGAAAATGCAGAACATTTAAAAGGACAAAAAGATCACTTTTCTGGAGAATCGAGTGGACGACCTCGAACAATACACCAGGATGAACGATTTGATTATCAACGGTCTGAAGACCAGACCCCGGAGCTATGCCAGGGTGGCAGCGGCCTCAGAGGACTCCGCCGCCGGGAGAGGTGGAGCCGACGCTCCGGAGGTGGACCGTGAGTCGCTGGAGCAACAGGTGCTTTGCTTTTTGGACAGCAAGGGCATATCTGTTGACAGCGGAGATATTGAGGCCTGTCATGCCCTGCGGAGCAAGAACTCAACAGCCACCCCAGCAATAATAATCCGGTTCATCAACAGGAAAAAGAAATATGCACTCCTCAGACAAGGAAGGAAACTGAAGGGGACCAATGTTTACATCAACGAACACCTTACGAAGAAGAACGCGGACATCGCAAGGAGAGCACGTATACTGAAGAAACAAAACAAGATTCAAGCAACATGGTCGACAAATTGTAAAATTTTCATCAAACTAAACGGATCAACAGCAGAGATGGCGAAAGTGCTCATTATCAGGGACATCACCGAGTTGGATCAGTTTGATGAATGAAACATCAAAATCAACATAAGGTAACTCAATCGCTACACACTGAAATGAACACACTAAGAACACCCATGATAAGCTTGGACAAAATTGCTGAATATAAAAAACTGGACTTGAAATGTTTCAAATACACGGAACATAAATCGCAAGACATTGAAAAGGATATTGACCCTGAAAATAATTTCTACAAGAACATCCATAACCAATGTGAATACTATACAGAAGATCAACTCAAAATAAATGGATTGATGGATGGATCAATATCAATATTACATTTCAATAGCAGAAGCCTAATTTCAAATGTATCAAAGATCAAACACTGTTTAAGGCAACTGGAGAAACAAGTTACAGCCCTAGCAATATCAGAGACTTGGCTTAGTGATGAGCAAGCTGACATGGTTGAAATCGAGGGATACAACATGTTTTTTACTACTAGGACTCATTCTAAAGCTGGGGGGACTGCACTTTATATTAACAAAAGTTATAAAAGTAGATCTGTCAGTAATATGTCTTTTGCTTTAGACAACATCATGGAATGCATAACAGTAGAAATTGAAATCAAAAAATCTAAAAACCTTCTGATAAGCTGCGTGTATAGAAAACCAGGATCATGTGTTGACACATTTGAGAAAAAGCTAGCTGAACTTTATAACTACACAAGCAGCAAGAAAATGCTTTTTGTATGTGGAGATTTTAATATTGATTTGCTGAACCCACAAGAACACAATGCAACTACAGAATTTATTAATTCTATGTATAGCAACAGTTTATATCCTACAATCACACGACCGACCAGAATAACATCACACAGTGCTACACTCATTGACAACATATTCACAAATGTTATGGATAGGAAAGTAATAAGTGGAATATTAATAAATGACACAAGTGATCACTTGCCAGTCTTTGCAACAATACAGAACTGTACTAGTGTAACGTCCGAGGTGTTAAGGCTTCAAGAATACTTCTGTGTAACAAGAACTCAGGAACTTAGTACTTTTTGGAGCGTCACAGATGCCTCCGTTTATTAACGTCGAGTCACACACATGTCACACACCACTCTAGCCCCGACTGCGCATGCTCACAACACATGACCTCTCAACCCAATGCTTACATGCGTCCCTCCTTACTGAAAGAAATGTCCCCATTTCCACACACATGGTGAAAACACAACAAAACATAAAAAAACAATACAACCACGAAAAACCCCAAAAACATAACAAACCACACACTACCCCGCAGAATAATACATGCAGGCATGACGTACATTCGAAAAAAAATCTTTGAATAAAAACAATGACAAACAAAACACATCCACAGCCCAAATAAAACATCAAACTAGGTATGACATAACTTATTCCCCTGTCCTGCACACTCGAAACATGAAAAAAACCAATTATGCAGCATAGAATACACAGGAGAAAATAATCACACAAGCACGTAACCACCAGTCATTCAGCCCATAACAAAGTCCAAAAATCGGACAGGAGGCCGCGCTAACCTCCCAGCCCGGGACACCGTCGGTGCGGCTTGTTCGAGCTCAGGGGAATCACCAGCCCCAGAACCCGGCCCAAGATCACAGCCACTTTCCCCATCGGAAAACCTCAAGCGTCCAGAGCTCTGTGGGGAGACTGCATCTTGCAACGGAAGAGGCTGAGAAAGGTGTAAGAGAGACCTTGATGGTCCCTCCAAGGGAAAGGCTACCGGCAGGTTGTATCGCCGTAGTCTGTCGTAATGGACAGTTTGGAGAGAGGCTTCATCCCCAAACGGGCTACTTAGTTGGTACGTGACCCCCACTTCATCACCCCTATCCATTCGCCTCTGCACCAGATAAGGCCCCTTCCAGTGGGGAGCCAGTTTACGGCGGCTCTCAGTGGGATCATTTAACCACACCAAATCCCCGACTTCATACGGGTCGTGCCTCACTCTGGCGTCATAGTACGACTTCTGTTTGCTGCTTGCAGCAAAATTGTTATCCCTTGTCTGATCAAACGCCGTGTCCAAGCGTCTGAGAAGGGAACCAGCAAAGTCTTCCCGGGGACCCTGCACCAGATCATCCCGCTTTGGACCCAGTAAAACATCCACAGGAGTCCTGGCCTCCCTGCCATGCGTGAGAAAATACGGCGTGAAGCCTGTGCTGGAATGTACACTGGTATTGTACGCAAATGCGACCTGTGACAGAAAAGAGTCCCACTCCCCCTCACATGATAGAAGAGATTTCGCCAACTGATCGATAAGTGTCCTATTAAACCTCTCTACCATGCCATCAGACTTCGGATTGTAAGGCGTGGTGTGCGTCTTCTTCACACCTAACACGCCGCACAAATGCCTCACAACATCTGATTCGAACTGTCTGCCCATATCAGTGTGCAGAGTTTCCATTACCCCATGCTCCAAGATGTAGTTCTGGAAGAGACACTCCGCGACCGTCGGGGCTTTTTGATCGGGGATGGCATACAGATTTACAAATTTTGTGAAATAGTCCTCAACAACCAACACATACCGGTTGCCTTTTGATGTGACCGGCAACTCCAGTATGTCAGCCGCCACCCGCTGGAAAGGTCTAACTGCATGTGAAGTTCTCATGGGGGCATGGTGTTTAGGCACCGGGGACTTCCTTCTCTGACAGGCATAACATTGGTCACACCACGAACGAATGTCACTGTGCATGGAGGCCCAATAGCACACACTTCTTGCGCGTGCCAAAACGCGATCATA